AAAGTAATAAGATAATAAAATGAATATGGTTTTAGATTCTTGATTTAATATAATAAAAGTGCAACATACTGGTGCATGTATGACATTAATTTGCATTAGATTGTTAAAAGATGCATTTTTAAATATTATTTTTCTTATGATAATTATATATTTGCAATAATATCTTTGTTATCTTTTAATATATTCCTTTTTTTTTCCTATTATCAAATTGTTCATAACCACACCTTGTCTCAAATAAAATAATGTAATTCTTTTTTTTGTTTATACAATAAATCCGAGTAGATTGGATACTTAAGAGAGGAGAAAGTAATAAATCGTGTGTATATTTGGAATGAAATGCAACAACGAATACAAACTATCTTCTCTCAGAGATAGATTAATATTATTATTCTCGTAGAACTTTTATTTTTTTATTACCATTCTCGAAGGTTTGCTTTCCCATCGAATATCTCGAGGCAATTCATCGATATATCTCGATTGGATGATTGCAGGTACCACTCGAAGAAAATTACGAATCCGGTCCCGTGTTATGGGGCCAACCTTAATCGAACAAAAATTCACTATATTAACGTCCACTCTCTCTTTCTTTATTTCTTTCTTTCCCTTTCTGTTTTAAATAATACAAAAACATATATTCGATGAATAAAAAGAAATAAATGTCATTGTAAAAAAAAATGATTACGTCAAACCACATAAGTAATGTCATAAGAATGAATAAATCTTCTTTATAGGATTGTACAATTAAAATCAATAGAACAGTCTTAGTGTGTAATATAATTTGTATAAATATGAAACGTTGTATAACACCGATAGACGAGTTTTATATACACCTGTGTGTTTACCTGCAAGCCAGACGATTACGTTACGGCCGAGGCCACACCTCGGATTTTTTTTTTTTTTTATTTCTCTCTTCGTTTCCTCGTTCCTCACGATGCTTCTTTTTAATTTTGTTTTTTTTTACATTTTCTATTACTCTTTTCAATCATTTATTTATTCCATTGCGTAGTGTTACCATCATAGTCGTAGATTCATTTAAAAAATTGATTTCATTCATACAAGTTAACAATATTTTTCATGTGACACTTTGTTGAATTATATTCTAATATATTAAAAATAAAATATTTCATGCGATTACGAATATTAATAAATTAATATAAAAGAAAATATACATATATATATTTTACAAGAGTTATCGGAGATATATTTAAGCAGAAATTTGTTGAAAAATAAATTATTTAAATTAAAATATATATATATATTTATTTATAATTTATTATATATTATTTATAATTTATATATATATATATATATATGAAATATTTAATGTGAGAGTAAGAACATGTAGATAATAACCTAGATGCCTACTTATCTTATAAAGAACCGTAATTCATTCTTGATTTTATTATGTTTCTGGTTAAATATCAAGTTGGAATAGTTGAGTTTCAGTTGGAATACGAGGACAAGAGGTATCAGGAATTAGCAAAAGGTTAAATAGAAAACCGTAATGCTTAATCGAGTAGCTGAGTTTTCTCTGATCGTTTGTTAGAACTTGTAAGTTTCTCTTCTTCTACTCTTAACGATCCCAATGGTGAAGTTAATTTCGTAGAAGGATACGTGCATCATTGGCAACGAATAGTTAGTTATAGTACTTAATGACGTAGATAGAAGATATACGTATATATACATATGTGTATGTATATGTACGTACTTTTACTTACTACCTAGTTGATACCGTAATTTCGTATCTTTATTTCAACGTACATGGAGAATCATCCCATGGCCTTAATAGAATATACCAACGACATAAGAACAACTTTTAAAAAACGAGATATATCTTATGACGAGATATATAACGTGAATTCTCTTTAGAAATAAATTTCACCTTAAATCACAGGTGTAACGCCTTCTTTCCTTTCTTCCTTCCTTCCTTCCATTTCCGTCCTATGATTCTAACTTTCTCTTTAAGACAATCATTTTGAAAATAAATATAAAAGAATAATTTGTGTGTAGAAATCATTGAGGAAACAAAAAAGTACGCGAATTTATTGTATGGTCTTTTTTTTTATTTTTTTTTAAGTATTACTTTAACGCGACTTACATGTGTGTGCAATGCAGAAGAATTTTTCTTACGGTTCTTTTTTTTCTTCTTGAAACGAATTTATATTATTAAGTAATGTGTAAGATAATATAAATTTATGTTTAAAAAAATACGATGTATGTACACGTTTTACAATATCAATATATGCACGTGATTTATTTTATTTATTTGACGAATATTATTATAACGTTAAATAACACTTATCGTATATTTTTTTTTTTTATTACTTCAGAATAAATTAATTTCTTATATAATATAAAGAAAAAAATATTCCATTGGTC